TAAATAACTGTCGAATAAATGAACAACTGCACAGCTACAGCACATTCCTCTGAAGGAGTGTAGGTTATCTTTGAAACCCTATACTATCCTATAGCTCCTAAATGCTTCTTAGCTTTTAAAGTTCTTTCACATACTCTCATTTGATCTTCACACAATCTTATGATTGTGCCAATAATTAAACTGTGATTCAGAAAAGACTTGCTTGAAGTCACAAAACAGCTTATAAATGGAATGTAGGTCTTCTGATTCTCCAAGCACAGTGTTCTTTCTGCTATAACATTCTCCCTTCCATCTTCCATGTTCAGAAATATTTGAAGCAGTTTCTAAAAACATCAGGTTTAATTTCTATGTAACTATTGTTTAATCATTGTGCAATGTCATAACCAAAGATTTAATAATAAGCAGGTATATAGATAGCATAAATATGGGGGGGGGGAAATCACTAAATACTGTAGACTCAAAATGGAAACACTTTAAAATATTTTGTTCCCATTAGTTTTAAAAGAAACAATGCAGAAAGAAAACATTATAGAGCTAACTTTCCTTCCTCCCCCTCCCTGCAGTGCTCACCCTTGATCCAATACCAGGTCCTTCCCAGCATCACAGCCTACTTCTCTTAAACCCAAAAGGTCTAGGGTCCAGGCTTACTCATCCTTAGGTCCTCTCACAACCAGCAAACAGTTGCTCCTTTCTTGGAGACACGTTCGCCTGATGTTGCACACTAGGATGAAGGGAGCTTTATTTTTATGTATGTTTCTCACAAGAAAATGAAGGAATAATTTAAAACAGAAGCCAGGCCAGTGTGGCTCAGTGGTTGAATATCAACCCAAGAACCAGGAGGTCATGATTTGATTCCCAGTGAGGGCACATCAATGATTCTCTTTCACCATTGATGTATCTATCTCTCTCTCCCTCTCCTTTCCTCTCTGAAATCAATAAAAACATATTTTTTAAAAGGAAAAACAAAAAAAAGATATTTTTTTACATATTAGAACATGTTTTTATATATTTAAATAGCTTTTCTACTGCCAATTCATTCCACAACAACTTTTAAGTATCCACTATGTCCAAAATTCATTGTAAACACATGAGTGCTTCCTCTCTTGGTATATTAGGAGTCAAATGTTATTTTAGACACTGAAAATACAAAAATGAGTAAGACAGCCTGCCCATAAGGCAGCTACCAAATAAACACAAATTACTATACATACAGCAATGTAAATTCCACACCAATGCACATAGGAAGGCTATAACGGAAAGAAAAGCTAACAGGAAAATTGAAAAGGCTTTATGAAGAGCTCAGCCTCAAAAAATGAATATGATTCAGTATGGCAAAAGAAACAAAATGTGCAAAAACACAGACATGACACAGCACTGGTGTGGCGGGAAGTTGGGTTTCATCATAACAAGAGGTTCATAAATGGAGAACAGAGTTGGAAAAGAAATTTGGAGGCACAGATTATAAATGTCTTTAAATACATATAACACTAAGGAAATTGGATGTTATTAGATAGGCAATTCAGAGAATCTCCTAGCTCTTAAGCAGGGTCAATGCACAATTAAATTTGCACATTTAGAATAATAACTCTGGAGGTAGGGTAGTCATGAAGATTGTCAAGAAAACAAGGCAGAACCTGAAGCAAGAGTTGGTAAAGTCTTGAGAGCAGTGGCAGAAATAGGGAGCAGGAGGCCCCTACCTGGGTTGCAGGAGGCAACCAATTGATGTTTCTCTTTCCTGCTCCCTTCTACTCTCTCTAAAAATCAATGGGAAAAAATGTCCTAAGGTGAGATTTAACTAAAAAGAAGGAAGGGAAGGAAAGAAAGGGAAGGGAAGGAGGGAGAGAGAGAGGAGGAAGAGAGAAAGGGAGGAAGGGAGGAAGGGAGGGAGGGAGGGAGGAAGGGAGGGAGGAGGAGAAAGTGAAGATCAACAAGTCTTTTCTAACAAGACTGGACAAAAAAGAACAAAGAAAACTGAAATTTCCAATACAAATGTCATTAACTACATTAAGAAGTAAAGGAGAAATAATGCTTTTCTTTTCATCACCTTTTCCTGGAGAGGGAGGATGAAAGGTTTCAGTTTTGAAAATAGTTTTGTTTTGTTTTAAAGTTATCTGTGGAATGCCAGGTAAAGCTCCAGGAGGCACTTTGAAATATGACACTGATCCTCAAAAGACGTGTGAATGACAGTTGAGACAAGTTTTGAGGTGCTTTAGTGAGATGCTTTTAGAAGTAGATGACTCCATAGCCAGAAGGACAAAACCAGAACCAAATTCAATCTTCAAATAAAATCAGCCCAGGAAGGATAGAGGAATGCAATAACTAGAGAAAAGATAATGGCAACAAATATGAAATTAGAGCTCTAAGTCCAATACCAACTGTTTGGTGTTCACACACTCACAAATGACAAAACATGTCAAATGATCATGACATCAGTAACCACTGGTAAATGCTACAGAACCATGAAATACAACGTAGGAGAAAGGAAAGCAGACAGACAAGGCGCAAATCATAATGCCAACATGACTGCAAAATGTGACGACCAAACTACTAAACAGCAGGCTGTGTGGGATGACCAGGCCAGCAGGGGGCGGAGGGGGGCACGGGGGGTGACCAGGCTGGTAGAGGGGGCAGTTGGGGGCCCGTTTAGGCCAGCGGGGGAGTGGGGGGGGGGAGGGGGGTTAGGGGCAATCATGCCAGCACACAGAAGCAGTGAGGGGCAATAAGGCCAGGAGCGGGGGCAGTTAGGGGCAACCAGACAGGCAGGCAAGCAATTAGGAGCCAGTGGTCCAGGACTATGAGAGAAATGTTCAATAGGGCCTAAACTGATAATCAGACATCCCCCGAGGGGTCCCGGATTGGAGAGGGTGCAGGCTGGGCTGAGGGGACCCGCTCCTTCCCCCCTTGCACGAATTTTGTGTACCCAGCCTCTAGTAAGTTTATTAAAAGGACAAAAGAGACAGAGTTGCATTTGACACTAGTTAAGTAACTAATCATCTGGATTTAAAAGAGTTTTCCCATTGTGCAACAAATGAATTCCAATTTTGTTTTTAAAAATCAGGGAAACTGGAAGCATAAGGCAAGAGAAGGTAAGGTGATTTGTAATAAGGATGGGAGGAAGCATTAGTAGCAAAAAGTGCAAAACTTACATTTGACTTCAACAGCAGCATGTTGTTACTTAGCATGTTCTAAAACTTCATGCATGCAAACCACTTTCATGCCTTCCTGTTTTTTGAAGTAGCAAGACACAATTTGACAAAGTTGATATTAGACCTAGTTCTGTCTCCAATGGCTGTCCATATGGCTCAGGAAATTAACCAAATTCAGTGTGTTTACTGGTAAAATTGGTTTGTTTTCATAGGCCCATACCACAGGTCTTTTTTATTTTTTTATTTTTATCTTTCAATTTATTTTAGCACAGGGCTAGGCACTAGGAGACACTCACTAAGTGCTATCATCCTTCCTTCCATGGGACTTCATTATCTACTAGAGGCCTGGTGCACAAAATTCGTGCATGGAGAGGGGAGGGTGCTCCTCAGCCCAGCCTGCAATCTGGGATCCCTGGGGGGATGTCCAACTGCTGGTGGGATCTGGCCCAAAGCGGCAGTCGGACATCCCTCTCACAATCCATGTCTGCTGGCTCCCAACTGCTTGCCTGCCTGCCTGCCTGATTGCCCCCAACCACTCTCCTGCCAGTCTGATCAATGCCTAACTGTTCCCCTACAGCCCAATTGCCCCCAACTGCCCCCCCCCATCCTGGAGGGCATGCTCTGGCCTGCTCACCCCCAACTGCCCTCCCCTGCCAGTCTGTTCACCCCTAACTGCCTCTGCCTGCCACCATGGCTTTGTCTGGAAGGACACCTGGAAAGTCTCCTGGTCTAATTAGCATATTACCCTTTTATTAGTATAGATACTTCCAGTAGCAAAATCACTAACTGTAGGCCTCAGTTTCTCCACCTGTAATGAATGATGCCTTACAGCGTTGTTTTTAGATTACATAATTGAAGTGCTCTGTCTAAAGCACAACATATATGTAAAGCATAATTGTTTCTAGGTCTGGCAAATAGTAGCAACTCCCATTTTATATATAGAGGAACTGAGAACCAAGAGGTTTAAAGGACTGGTATGTAATAAGATCGGGGAAAGAACTCAATACCTACTCAAACCCCTTTCATTACCCCCTATACCTCGCTCAGATATCAAGGTATCTTCTACAAGCTCAAGGTCTTCCCACATCACCTAAATTTTTCTTAATATTCAGGTAAGGGGTAAGCAAGCTACAAAGGAAAGAAGCAAAAGGACACATAAAATGACTCGCCCAAAGTAAAAAAAAAAAAAAAAAAAAAAAAAAAAAAAAAAATCCAGACTAGAAAAGGAATGATTGCCTGCCGGCAGCCCAGGCCACTTCCCCCATGACTCCCACAACACCGATAAGTGACGAGCTCCCCACTTCCCGGACTCAAGGACACTGTGTAGGGGCGCCCTCCGCTTCCAGCGTGCCAGCCCCCCGCGCCCCTGCAGCTCACGCACTGTGGGCAGCCCGGGCGAGGCCCCCACGCTCCCCGCAGACCCGTCCCCCCTCCCACGCTCCACCCCCGCCCCGAGACCCCAGACCCTCGCTCTCAGGACCCCAAAAGGTTGTGTTCACAGCGCGAGCCCCCCAACCCCCCGTGCTCCCAGCCACGTCCGCGGCCTCACGCACTATGGCGCTCCGGACAGGGCTCCAGCCACCGCCGTTGCCTCTGAGCCCGGCCGGCCGGCCTCCCAGTCTCGCCGTCCACGGGGGAGCGCTGGCCGGAGCAGACCTGGGACTTCCTCTGACAGCTCCGTGCCGCCGCGGCCCGGAAGAGCCCGCCTCAGGGACTGACGGACTTCCCCCACGGCCAATCGAAACGCACGCGCGGACGGGGGCGCGGCCACGGCTGGGGGCCCCGCCCCTCCGCACTTCCGCCGAGGTGAAAAGGCCAGCGGAAGCTTTGCCAGAGTTCCTCCGAGCTCCCCGCGCCTGAGGGGTGGCCGCAGGCTGGCTGCGGCCGGAGGGGCCGGGTGTAAGAGTGGCGGTGGGTGGGGATGCGCGAGGCCCCACCCCGGCTCCTTTACCCGTATCTTGTGGGCGCTGAGCTGCCCTTGGGGCCCCTCACCGGTGCGGGCACCGCACGGACCCCTCCCCTGGCAGCGGGCGCACCTCAGAGCCGGGCGCCCCGGCGCTGAGGGAGCACAGACTCCAGGAGGTTTGACAGCAGCTACCTAATGTTTTGCCCAAATGAAACCCGTGCGTCTTCGCCCGCACCGGAGCGCGCGTTGGGGAGGCGAGCTGTTTGCAGGGCCACTAACCACCCCGCGTAGGAAGCGCGGCTCTGCCCCCGGCGCGCGGTCTGGAGAGGGAGGCGCAGCGCAGGGCTGGGGTCTTGGATACTGAGCCTGGCCGCGGCGGCCATGGCGGCGCCCGGGGACGCGAGGCGGCTGTGCAGGCTGGTGCAGGAAGGTCGGCTGTGCGCCCTGCGGGAGGAGCTGCAGCGAGCGGGGCCCCCCAGCTGCCCCGGGCCGGCGGGAGACACCCTGCTGCACTGCGCTGCCCGCCACGGCCGGCGGGACATCCTGGCCTATCTGGCCGAGGGCTGGAACATGGACATCGAGGCCGCCAACCGAGACTACAAGCGGCCTCTACACGAAGCTGCCTCCATGGGTCACCGGGACTGTGTGCGATATCTGCTGGGCCGAGGAGCCGCGGTCGACTGCTTGAAGAAGGCTGACTGGTAGGTGGCAGGAGTTCCAGAACGACACCCCTTAGCTCCTTTTCTGCAGAATCATATATTCCCATGTACTTTTTCTGCCTCTGCAGTATAGCTTCTCATTAGAGCACACTGTTCCTACCCTTGGGAGTCAACTGTTTGGTCCAGACAGATGCTTCCCTTTATAAAGCAGAGAACAGTACAGAATACGATCAAACAGATAGAAGAATATCGATGAATTCCCCATGTAACATGAGCCCCAGGATACGAAATTCTTCTGGGGACTTATGGTAAATGATTACTTCACCAAAGGCATTGACTTAACTTTTTAAATTTTGAAGTAGCTATAGGGTCACAGAAGGTGACAAAGAAATGTTCAGGGAAGTCCCATGTACCCTTCCCCTAGGACATTAACATCTTACAAGTTACAATAACAGAACTAAGAAACTGACATTGCTACAATCAATAAACTTGCTCACATTTCATCAGGTTATACCTACACTTATATGTGTGTGATGCTCTCTGGATGTGATTTTATCACGTGTAGCTTTGCATAACCATCTCAACAGTCAACATACTCACCTTTACCATCACACAAACCAATTGCATTTTGTTAGACCAGCATTGTTTTCAGTACGCAGTTCTTGCTTACACAGGAGACGGCCACGTATAGTAAAGTATTGTGCATTTTGCCCACGGGGAGGGGAGTAGGCTTGGTGGTGTTTTGAGGGTTGCACTTAGCTGTGACTAAGCACAAGACTGCTTTTCTTGTGCTGCTGGTAAATTAATCTAAAGACAGTTCCAAGAGGCATAGACCTCATATACTCCTCAAAGCAATAATTCAGATAAGGAAGCAGCCAAAAACAAAGCACTAAAAAGGCAGGTTCATTTGATTATGTGTTTAGGAAGTGTATAATCACAGTGAGACATTTTTGCCCATTCTCTTTTTCTTTTCTTTTTTTCTTTCTGAAACACCTTACCTGCTTTTTCAATAATCCCGCCTTGCTCAAGATTCATTCCCTTCATGAGGTTCTTGAAAACTCCAGCCTTCATTTATCTGTTTGTTTTCCTCTTAATTTCTCATTCACTGTTATTTCTACATTACCCACCCCCCCCCCCAAAAAAAGAGTGTTGGTAATTTACTAATATAGCAATATTACAAGTTAATTCTTAGATGAGACTTTAGAGATCACCCAAGTATAGTGAGCTCCCACAATGTGCCAGACACAGGTTCTAACCTGGGAATGAGGAGGTAAACAAGATCTGCATTGCTTTTCAGAAATCCTAGCACTCTCGTTTTGTAGACAAAACAAAAAAACAAAACAAAAAAACTAATGAAAGTAAAATGGCTTACCCCAAATCATTCATGTGGCTGGAGAGGAAGACCAGAGCCACCTCTCTTGATATAGATATAATGTAGTTCACTCTCCTGTAGTTGTGGACACAAGTCAGTACAGAGACTTATTGTAATCACACTGTTTCATTTGCTCCATTAATGTATGTTTGTTTAAACTAGGTACAGTGTCAAATGCTCTTTTTAAATTCTTTTTTCAGCGCAATATAATTAACTAGAGGCTGGGTGCACGAATTCATGCACAGGTGGGGTCCAATCAACCCAGGGGTAGAGTTGTCAGGGAGCCCTAGTCGAACTCCCAATCCCAGTTGAGGGGACAATTTGCATATTACCCTTTTATTACATAAGATAGGATAAGTGGTTTCTCACTAAAGTAAGTGGGATAAGTCCAACAGAGTACCTTTTATGCAATATTCTTCAGGACAAACTTTATGATTTAGACTAATTCTGTCCCAATTCAGTGCCATACTAGAAACTAGCTCAGAAGCAGCTTTGCCTCCTTGGTATCCCCCTTTTGTAGGCATGCCTACATCACAATCGTTTTCCTCTTATTTCACCCAGAGTCCTCAGGGCAGGCAAAGTAGTTGAAAGTTTTCCTGCTTCCCAAATCCCTGAGTCCTCTAGGTTTTCCATCTCTACCAAGGATGTGTGTTTTTCTAAAGACCTGGCTGTACCCGTATAATGTCTCAGCTACCCTTCTATCTGACAGCTTGTCCTCTTTGGCCTTAGGACTCCTCTGATGATGGCTTGTAGAAGGAAGAATCTCGAGGTGATCCAGGACCTTGTAGAACATGGTGCAGATCCGCTTCTGAAGAACAAAGATGGCTGGAACAGTTTCCACATTGCCAGCCGAGAAGGTGACCCTGCAGTCCTTCAGTACTTGCTCACCATTTGCCCAGATGCCTGGAAGACAGAGAGCAAAATTAACAGAACTCCTCTGCACACGGCAGGTATGGCCCGGAGTTCTGCCTCCCCCAACACTGCAGAATGGCATCGAGTTGGGGGGTTTTGGATAATAGAGGTTGGTGAATAAGAGCAGCTGTGGGATATTTTGGCATATGCTTAGTTTCTAAAGCTAATGTCACGTGGTACTTAACATGCACTTCTTTCTTGTATTAGTTCATTTTTCATAAATATCAGTCTTAGTCTTCCCAGCTAGTTATATGGTTTTTTCCTCACTAAGTCTGTACTTTGGGCAAGGAGCTTAGTCTCTTGAGCTAGTTTCAACAGCAAGATAATGATGACAATGATGCCTATATCACAAGGTTGTTACAGAGTTGAAGGAGCCGGATGTAGGTAAACCCCTTAGCACAGTGTGTGACACAGGAGCACACAATAGGCTGTTGCTATTTTTATGATCATTTTCACATTGTTTTTATTATTAAAGACAGGAGGAAAAGAGACAGGGTTTTTGTTTGTTATTTGTTTTTATATTTTTTTTTATTGATTTCTGAAGTGTATAATCACAGTGAGATATTTTTGCCCATTCTCTTTTTTTTTCTTTCTGAAAAAGGAGGAGAGAGAGAGAAACATCAATGATAAGAGAGAATCATTGATCAGCTGCCTTCTGCATGTCTCGTGCTGGGGAGTGAGCCCTCAATCTGGGCATGTGCTATGACCAGGAATCAAACTGTGGCTTCGTGGTTCTTAGGTCAACACTCAACCACTGAGCCACACCAGCTGGGCAAGAAACAGTTTTTAAATATACTCAGCAATACCTACCATAACTCTACCCATTTAAATAAATATAGGTGCTTATAATTAAATATCTGAGTGTATTTGACTTATCTAGTGATAATGTCAAATATAAATTTATTATTTTGAGTAATTAGTCTTAATTTTGAATTATCTATAGATTATTTTAAGTTAGTAAAAAGCAAAGCTGCTGTGGTGTAAGATGAAATGGATATTAATGAGCTTGAGTCCACATCAAGAAATCTAGAAAATAATCTTTAGTCTTCTAGAGCACATGTGTCAAACACAAGGCCCTCGGGCCAAATCCGTCCCGCCAGGCCTTGCAATGTGGCCCGCACCGTGCTGTCATCACTGCACTCCGCTGCGTTTCCATCACAATGACAGTTTATGACTGTTCAGTAAACCATTCGGCCCTCGATTTAGGCTGGATTTTAGGTTTTGGCCCCTTCTCTGATTGAGTTCGACACCCCTACTCTAGAAAGTTCATTGAATTGGAATACAGAGCTTTTAATTCTCTAAAAATGAATACCTGTAACATGACATAGTTTAGGAAATATGCATACAATTGTTTTAGCCACAGCAGGCAGGTAAGAACCAAGCAATCTTTTTGCAAGAGGGAGCATAACGTTTCTCTTATCACCAATTGTTTGACTAGATCCCCTACTCTTTTGGAGAAATAGTACCCAGTCATTTACACAAAGTAGTGATGCACAGATAGTCAAAAAGCTTTATTATTGACCATAGTTATTTTTAATAGAAGAATTAAATTCCTGGTTATTTTGTCATGGATTACTCTTAAAATGTTTTACATTTCCTGGGCAAAAGCTGCCTGGCTCAATGTGAGGAGATAGCTAAGTTTAGGATTGAAAATTTTTCATAAAAGGGTTCATAAAGACAAGATAATCAGTTTTGGCTATGGGCCTATTTAGTAAAAACGTCATTCTTTACTAATTATCTAACTAGATTTTTATTAATGTACCTACCTTACTTGCCCCTTCCTGTAAGTCATAGCTAAAAAGATGGGACAGAAACCAGTGCCAGGAGGAAAGAAGCATTTTATATGTGCACCTAAAAACTCTAATTCTCGACTCTCTTCTCCCAGCAATGCATGGCTGCTTAGAGGCAGTAAAGGTGCTTCTTCAGAGGTAAGAACAAAAGAGATTGAGGAAGACATTTGCTAATCATGACAGTTAATGTCGATGCTACTTAAAGAGCTCAAGCAAATTGTTCAAGAGCAGCTAAAGTATCCAAAGAGAAAAGAGAAAAGGATATAAGCAGATAATTTAAAGAACATAAAACAAAAATAGCTAACAAATTTGAGAGAAAGCCATTTATTTGTCTGTTCATTCAACAAGTATTCATCTGTTTATTCAGTACCTGTTATGAATTGTACCAGATGCAGGGATTACAATTTTGTTATTTAAACATGTTATTTAAACTATGACCTGAAGGAGGCTGAGAGAGGGAGGCAGGGGGCATTCCAGTCAGAGGAAGCAGTACTCAGGGATGCTTATCCCGGGAAAACCATAGTGCATGTAAGAAACTAAAGGAAGCTCAGTATGTGTTGAAGCCTATAGTGAGGGGGGAGAGGAAGAGCAGGTTTCAATCAGGTGGGACATTATAGACTATGGGAAGGATTTTAGGTTTTATTTTAAGCATCTAAGATGCCATTGAAGGGATTTAAGCAGGGTGAATAGAGTAAGAAATTGTCATTTTTCAAAGATCCTCTAGTTGCAAAATAGCAAATGAAATGGAGGAGGAGCAAGATTGGGTGCTTCGAAAGCTGTTGGGAGGCTATTGTAGTTAAACAGGAAAGAAATTGTAGCTGGACTAAGAAGCTAACAGTAGGATGAAAGAAAAGATTTGGAGATACTTCAGTAGATCTAGGTGAATGTTTCAATAAAAGGACTTGGAAAAAAGGAAAAGTCAAGGATGACTTTCAGGTTTCTCACTTAAGCAGCTGGTGCTGGTGTCATTTACTGAGGTAAAGAGCAGTAGAAGGAGAGCAGGTTTTGTGTGAAAAGATGATAGGTTCACTTTGGGACATGTTGAGTTGCATATGCCTGTGAGACATCCAAGCAAAGATGTCAAGGGAGCAGTTAGAGACACAGATATGAAGCCCAAAAAACAGGTATGGGCTGAGATACAAATCTGAGCAACAAAGAGATAATAATTGAATTTTTAAGAATGGAAGAGATTATCTAAGTAGACAATGCATAGTAAGAAGAGAGGAGAGGGAGAGATCCAAGATGGCTGCGCCCAGGTGAACACCTAGCCGCAGCCGCACACAACAATTTCAATAAAATACAACTAAAATATAAAACGGACATTGCCCAGAACTACAGGAAGGTTGACTGACTGGAAATTCTACAGCGAGAAGCAAGGAGAAAACCAGAAGGAGGCGCGAAGGAGCTAGAAAAGCCCAAGGTACGGAGACGCGGAGAGGACGGAGCCGGAGAGGAGGGAGGCCGAGTGCCTGGCGGGCGTTCCCGAGCGGAAAGGAGAGAAAAGCTCCGACTGTGCTGGGCCCCCAACTGCTCTGAACCCCAGTTCTGGGCCAGACCCCGGGGACTCAGGCTCATCCATAGGGAGCCGGGCTGTAAGGCGGAACCCCGGGGAGAGGCGAAAGGAGGTCCCGGAGGCGCGCACATTGCGCGCAGAGAAGGGACGGTCGGCTGTGCCTCGGGATTGCCCTGACGGGAAGGAGACCTGGGCTCCAGACTGCTCTGAACGCCACCTCCAACTCCACTTCCAACTGAACTGAACCCCAATACCGGGCTCATTGTGGGAGAGCATAGACTGTTTGGCAGCAGGCGAAAATCGAGGGCACCTTTCTCTCAGAGGCGCCGGCAGCGAGCACTGAAGGACCCGCATAGGGCGGGGCTGACGGAAGCCAAAGCTGCAGGCTCCACCCTGAAACCCCGTCCCATCTGTAACTGCGAAATGCGACAACAAAATAGATCACAAACGAAAGAAATGGAGGACAAAAAGCGTCTGGATATAGAGTTCAAATCTACGCTTATAAGGTTTTTCAAGAATTTCCTAGAAAAGATGGATAAGGCCTATGAGGATATGAAAAGAGATCAACTAGAATTAATAAGGAGTCAACAAGAAATGATAAGGGATCAACAAGAAATAAAGAATACATTGTCTGAAATAAAAAATATTTTACTGAGTCCTAAAAACAGAAGGGAAGATCGCAAGAATCAAGTCAAAGATTTGGAACATAAAGAGCCAGAAGACACTCCTCCACAGAAGCTAGAAGGCAAGAGAATCCAGAAAATTGAAGATAATGTAAGAAACCTCTGGGACAACTTCAAGCGAACCAACATCAGAATTATGGGGGTCCCAGAAGATGAGAGAGAGCAAGATATCAAAAACATACTGAAAGAAATAGTGACAGAAAACTTCCCCTACCTGGTGAAAGAATTAGACTTACAAGTCCAGGAAGCGCACAGAACTCCAAACAAAAGGAATCCAAAGAGGACCACACCGAGACACATCATTATTAAAATTCCAAGAGCAAAAGACAAAGAGAGAATATTAAAAGAAGCAAGAGCAAAGAAGGTAGTAACCTACAAAGGAGCACCTATACGATTGTCAGCTGACTTCTCAACAGAAACCATGCAGGCCAGAAGGGAATGGCAAGAAATATTCAAGGTGATGAATAGCAAGAACCTACAGCCAAAAATAATCTACCCAGCAAAGCTATCACTCAGAATCGAAGGCCAGATAAAGAGCTTCACTAATAAAAAAAAGCTAAAGGAGTTCATCACTACCAAACCAGAATTATATGAATTGCTGAAGGGGGTTCTTTCAGAAGAGAAAGTAAACAAAGATAAAAATTATGAACAACAAATACATAACTATCAACAAGTGAATCTAAAAACCAAGGAAATTAAAAAAATCTGATGAACAATATTAACTGGTGAATATAATAGAATCAGAGGTATGGAAGGGGAGTGAACTGACGATTCTTGGGGAAAAGGGGAGAGGGGGGCGTGGGAAGAGACTGAACAAAAACTGTGCACTTATGGATGAGGACAATGGGGAGAGGGGAAAGGGCAGAGGGCGGGGTGGGAACCTGGTGGAGGAGAGCAATGGTGGGGGGGGGAGAAGGAACATTTGTAATAATATGAACAATAAAAACTTATTTAAAAAAAAAAAAAAAAAAAAAAAAAAGAGAGGAGAGCTTAATGCAGTGCCCTGAAAGCATTGCTTATGTTAGGGCTTGCCTACTGCAAATTGGAACATACTTGATTATCAGCAAATTTATAAATATCCATTCATTGAACAAACATTTTTGGAAGCACCTCCTGTGTGTTAGGTGCTGGGTGGTAAGCAAAACAAATGCAGTCCTTTTCCTAACAACCTACAGGCTGATATGGAAGCCAAGTATAGGAAATCAAATAAATACCATAAAATTATAAATTGTAATACAGGTAGCTCTGTTTTCTGAAAGTTTGCATTATCCCAATTCACCTATATATAAGACCTACATTAGTACCTTTTTTCACTAATCAAAAGAATCTGAAAAGGATTTTCACTTTTACAAGAAAAGCTGTTATTATAGCAATGCAGGTATTTCATAAAAGTGAATTAGGACATGTAATGCAAACTTTCAGAAAGGTGAAGATACTTATTGCTTTATTCCATTTTGCTTACAAAAAGTTTTGTAGGAATGCTCTACTTTCAGCTAGCGGGGGAAACTTGTAACGCTAAGAGAAAAAGTATACAATGGCATGTAGAAGCAAAGGTACTGTTGATGCAAGAGAAAAGATAGGCCTCTGTGAAGTCACAGAGCTGTGATTTGAAGAATGCAATGGAGTTTGCCAAGTGAAGTGGAGAAATAATTTCTAAGTAGAGGAGATCAGCAAGTGCAAAGGCATCAAAGAGTTGGGCAAATGAAAGAACAGGAAAAAGGCAGAACCATGAAGAAGGTAGGATAGAAAAGAAAGACAAGTAGGATCGTGAAGAAGGTAGGAACAGAAGATGATCAGACTACTAGGAGATGAGACTGAGAAGATAGCACAGGAAGTTGAGGGTAGGAACACAAAAAGGGAGATGTGATGGAGAAAATGATAGGACAAGAAGGTAGGACCAAGGAGACAGTGGGGCAGGTAAGATAGGATGGTGAAGAAGGTAGGACTGAGAAGAAGATAGGACAGGTTGGACCATGGATAAGATGGAACATAAGAAGATAGGACAGGCGGGAGGTGAAACTAAGAAGATGATAGGGCAGGTAGGACGAGGAAATAAACAGGACCTAGAAGAAGAACAACCGTGAAGAAGGTAGATTACAGTAAGCACAGAGCAGTGGGTATGTGGGCAAGAGAAACCTGGAGAGGTAAGTTTGTGGGGCATTATCTTGACCACTAGAGGTCAGGCTGAAGTTCCAAATTTTGTGCTTTGTTTTTGTGACATACTAGTTAAAGGTTTATAACAGGAGCAGTCATACCCAAATTGCATGGTGAAAAGATTATTCTGATAGCTCTGATAATGAATTAGCAAAAGCAGAAGCCAAGGTGAGAAAAACAGGAAGCTATTGTCTATTGATTTTGGTCCTAATGGGTAAAAGCAGCAAAAGAGAGAAAGATACAATTAAGATATTTTGAATGCAGAATTGAGAGGTAATAGATTAAGTTTGAGGGCTAAGGGTTGATGTCAGGCTCCTGGCATGAGAAATTGGGGAAATTGTAGTCCATGATATGGAATGACAGAAGTTTAGAGGAGGAACAGATTCACTGGGGGAAACAGACGTACTGTTGAAAAGCTAAGTTCTAATATTGAGATGGGGAAAAGAGAGAGTGCTGCAGATTTTCACAGATCATTTGTAGGGCATGTCATCTACTACAGGTGATGAAGAGTCAACTGTCCATTGGGTCTGAAGCAGTGGCTCTTCTCAATTCTGTTATTTTGGGTTTGGGCTCTAGGTGTCAGTATGAACCAGACTGCAGAGACAAGTGTGGCCTCACACCCTTTATGGATGCAATTCAGTGTGGGCACATCAACATAGCCAGGCTGCTCCTCGAAAAACATAAGGTACAACAATGATTTGGTATTTTCTATGAGTTTTAGGTTATGGGATAAATAGAGATCATAGTTATTCAGTTCCTGGGTTCAAATTCCAGCACTGCCATTGTCCCCCTGTGGAACCCCTTAATCTCTTTTTTTTTTTTTTTTTTTAGAAAGTAAATTATTTTATTTTATTTTTTTAATATTTTATCTATTTTTTTACAGAGAGGAAGAGAGAGGGATAGAGAGTTAGAAACATCGATGAGAGAGAGTCACCAATCAGTTGCCTCTTGCACACCCCCTACTGGGAATGTGCCCGCAACCAAGGTACATGCCCTTGACCAGAATCGAACCTGGGACCCCTCAGTCCACTGAGCCAAACCAGTTTCGGCCCCCTTAACCTCTTTAAGCATCAGTATTTCCATCTGTAAAATGGTGACGAATTTTAATTCTTCAGAGGGTCACTCTAAGGATTAAATAATATAATATACATAAAGCAGTTAGCAAAAGACGATTTTTTAAATTTTAATTGATTTTAGCGAAAGAGGAAGAGAGAGAGAAAAACATTGATGTGTTGTTCCACTTATTTATGTACTCACTAGAGGCCCAGTGCATGAAATTCGTGCACTGGGCAGGGGATCTCTCAGCCAGGCCTATGCCCTCTCACAGTCTGGGACCCTTCAGGGATGTCCGGTATTCGGATATTTCTCTCGCAGTCCAGGACCCCTCACTCCTTACCGCCTGCCTGCTCACTGCTCTTTACTGTTGCTGCAGAGGCGGGAGAGGCTCCCGACACTGCCACTGTGCTCGCCAACCATAAACCCGGCTTCTGGCTGAGCGGTGCTCCCCCTGTGGGAGCACACTGACCATCAGAAGGCAACTCCTGCATTGAGTGTCTGCCCCATGGTGGTCAGTGTGCATCATAGCAACTAGTGGTTCTGGTTGTTCTACTTAGACTTTTATTGTATAGGCTAGAGGCCCAGTGCATGAAATTTGTGCACAGGGGTGGGGGGGGTCAGCCTGGCCTGCACCCTCTCCAATCCGGGACCCCTCAGGGGATGTCTGACTGCCTCTCACAATCCTGGATCACTGGCTCCTAACTCCTTGCCTGCCTGCCTGATCACCCCTAACTTCTCCCCTACTGGCTTGATTTGCCCTAACTGCCTCTGCCTCACCCCACACCAGGGACACAGGATTCCCTCCTGCCGGTTGCAGGCACCCAGGACCCAGTCTTCCCTCCCTCTGGCCAGCTGCAGGCACCCAAGACCAGGGCTAGCTTTGCCCGGGCTGGCCACAGCCGAAGGGGATAGTGGCAGGCAGCTTTGCCTGTGCCGTAGCCACAGGTACCTAGGACCACAGGGTGGGCAGCTTGTCCCTCTCCTGGGCCACAGACACAACCGCGCACCCGGGACTGCGGGGCAGGTGGCTTGTCCCTTTCCAGGGCAGCAGGCACAGCCACTGGCACCCAAGACTGTGGAGCAGGTGGCTTGTCTCTCTCCTGGGCCACAGGCGCATCCTCTGACACCTGGGACCACAGGGCAGGTGGCTTGTTCCTCTCCTGGGCCACAGTCTGACTGGTCCCCATTCCTCTCTCCTCAGTGTTGAGTGTCTGAGCTGTTACAGCATGAGGGCATGGCAATCATTTGCATATTAGCTCTTTATTATCCTATATGGTAAAAGGCTAATATGCAAATTAACCAAACAGCAGAATGGCCAGTCACTATGACATGCACTGAACATGGGGGTGGGGCAGATACTCAACACAGTGTGCTCCCACAGGGGGAGCACCACTCAGCCAGAAGCCCAGCTCAAAGTTAGCTAGCGCAGCGGCAGTGGTGGGAGCCTCTCCTGCCTCTGTGGCAGCGCTAAGGATATCCGACTGCCAGCTTAGGCCCACTTCCTGTGGGGAGTGGACCAAGCCGTGAGTCAGACATTCTCTGAGGGCTCCCAGACTGTGAGAGGGTGCAGGCTGGGCTGAGGAACCCCTCGAGTGCACTAATTTCATGCACCAGGCCTCTAGTATAGGGTAGGATTGGTTGATTCTTGTATATGCCCTGACTGAGGATTAAACCCACAACCTTGCTGAAACCAGTTTGGCTCAATGGATAGAGCGTCGGCTTGGGGACTGAAGGGTCCCAGGTTCGATTCCTGTCAAGGGCATGTATAATACCTTGGTTGTGGGCATATCCCCAGTAGGGGGTGTGCAGGAGGCAGCTGATCAATGACTCTCTCTCATCGATATTTCTAACTCTCTATCTCTCTCCCTTCCTCTCTGTGAAAAAAATCAATAAAATATATTTTTTTAAAAACTGCTGATTTAAAAAACAAAACAAACAAACAAACAAAAAAACACAACCTTGGCATATCAGGATGATGCTCTAACCAACTGAGCTACTCAGCCATGGCAGCAAAGTAACAGTAGCTGTTTTATGGTAATAAAAACAAGCCCCACTGAGTGCACTTTTGGCACACTTTAGATCATTGAATCTTAAACATTTTGTTTGTTTATAGAGTCCTTTAAGAATCTGACAAAAGCGCAACAATAAAGATTAAAATAATAATAACCACAAAAATAAATAAATAATCTGACAAAAGCTATTTAATATAGGCCCAGAAAAATGTACATAGGCAACAAATTTTAGCTAAAATGTCAGAAGGTCCATGAACCCAGGTTTCTCTGCTGCTTATTTTTGTTCCCGTCTCTCCCTAACCTACTAGGCTTGCATTGGTGCTGAGGATTCCCTGGGTGCCCAGGCTATACACAGAGCAGCAGTCACCGGGCAGAATGAAGCCATCCGATTCTTGGTCTCTGAACTTGGCATTGATGTAGATGTGAAAGCAACATCAACCCACCTTACAGCACTTCATTACGCAGCTAAGGTTTGTTTCTTTTCATGAGGTTGGCCCTGCTTCCTCAGGCTTCCCTCTACTGATAAATAGCTCCACTGTCCTATTGCTTTGGCTCCATCTCTGGAAGAAAAAAAGTTGCTCATGATATGCTCCTAAAATGTTAAAGGGCAGCCCTGCATCCCTTTAAATAAAAACCTAACTGTATTTGTTGTTAGGTAAAAACTGAACACCCTTTATTCCATTCAGTGACTGGATTTTATGTTTCATCCCGCCTTTTTTTCGTCTTCAAGAATGATGTTTTTTAAAGCCATAAAAATCCATTATATTAAATTCCTAGCCCTCTCTCCTAATGGGAGATTTCAGAAATTAAAATTTTTTAACTGAAAGAAGGGAATTGTATTTACTGGCCTCTCTAAAGTATAAAATATTTTAAGGCATGCAAAAATTTTTCACTACAGCCTGGCTTGTGTTGCTCAATGGTTGAGCAACGATCCATGAACCAAGAGATCCCTGGTTCGATTCCTGCAACACGTGCCCGGGTTGCAGGCTCCTCAGTGGGATGGTGCAGGAGGCAGCCAATAGATGTTTCTCTCTCATCAGTGTTTCCATCTCTCTATCCCTCTCCCTTCTCTCTCTAAAAAATCAGTTTTAAAAATATTTTTTAGCCGAAACCGGTTTGGCTCAGTGGTAGAGCGTCGGTCTACGGACTGAAAGGTCCCAGGTTCGATTCCGGTCAAGGGCATGTACCTTGGTTGCGGGCACATCCCCAGTAGGGGGTGTGCAAGAGGCAGCTGGTCGATGTTTCTCTCTCATCGACGTTTCTAGCTCTCTATCCCTCTCCCTTCCTCTCTGTAAAAAATCAATAAAATATATATTTAAAAAATATATATTTTTTTTAAAAGAAATCTCACTTAATAAAAATCTTATTTTAAAAAGTTTTCCTCCTGTTTTAAATAATAGGAGTATTTGCTTATTATATTTAATATGGTTGAACTAACTGGCTAGATAGAAAGTGTATAAATGAATGATAATGCCAGCTATGATATAAGTCCCATCCAGGAGAGGTGACCATCTTTTCTAATTTATCTCTGCCTTAAAGATTTTACCAAAGAGTATATGTACTTGGGAGAATTTGGAATTGTGTGTTCTGTATAAATCACAATACTAATGCTCATTACAGTGAAGGAAACCCAAATGTATTAGTCGGTAATTTGGCCTCCAAAGTTAACCATCTATTTTCTAATAACTGATTATCACCAAAATCTATCTTTAATGATTTGTAGTGGAGTTTGAGAGTTATGTAATGATTTTTCCTTTAGATACAAAAATATAGTTTTAGCAATTGAGTATTTTAGAAAAATGACCTAATAAATACATTCATGTTTATGTTTAAAGGTGCTTGTCACAGTGATAATGAGTTTATTTCATTCCTCAGGAAGGACATGTGAGTACAGTTCAGATGCTCATTTCCTTGGGTGCTGACATCAACTCTAAAGATGAAAGAAATCGATCAGGTACAGTTTCTTTGTGCTTTGGAAATTATTATTCAGTGGAATATAAACAATATAAACAATTCATGCACTTTTTTATTGTTGTTATTAATCCTCACCTGAAGATATTTTCTCCATTGGTTTTCAGAGATTGTGGAAGAAAGGGGAAGAGATAGAGAGAGAAATCGATTGGTTGCCTGCCCTGACCCTGGCTGGAATCAAGCCTGCAATTGAGGTACATGCCCTTGACCAAAATTGAACCTAAGACACTTCAGCCCTTGGGCTGACAATCTATCCACTGAGCAAACTGGCTAGGGCTAGATGACTTTTAAAAATATTGCTTTTAATATTATTCCTCTACTACCTCAGCAACTTTTTTTTTTATTACATCTCCAAATAGAACTGTTGCTGTTACCATGGCAATGATGATTACTACTACTCATTATTACTGCTGTTATTGTTGTTTTTATCATTTTATTTTATTTTATTTTATTTTATATATTTTATTGATTTTTTACAGAGAGGAAGAGAGAGGGATAGAGAGCTAGAAACATCGATGAGAGAGAATCATCGATCAGCTGCCTCTTGCACTCCCCCTACTGGGCATGTGCCCGCAACCAAGGTACATGCCCTTGACCGGAATCGAACCCAGGACCTTTCAGTCCGCAGGCTGATGCTCTATCCACTGAGTCAAACCGGTTCCGGCTGTTTTTATCATTTTAAACTACAACAGTATATGTGACATAAAAACACTTAATATTGTCACAATACTACCAGTTATTCAGGTAGATGCTTCATAGGTCATCTCTCTTTTAAGTGTATTTAAAGACTACAATCATTACAGTTTTCTCAGTTTAGAGCTCAGAAGGATATTTTCAGAGCTAATTTTTTTCTTTTTTTTTTTAAATATATTTTATTGATTTTTTACAGAGGGAAAGGGAGAGAGATAGAGAGTTAAAAACATCAATGAGAGAAAGTCATCGATCAACTGCCTCTTGCACACCCCCTACTGGGCATGTGCCCGCAACCAAGGTACATGCCCTTGACCGGAATCGAACCCAGGACCTTTCAGTCCTCAGGACAACGCTCTATCCACTGAGCCAAACCGGTTTCGGCAGAGCTAATTCTTTAAATTCATACTTTAGAATAAACCTCAATTAACATTCTCTGTGCCAATGGCAATCTTTCAGGAGTTTAGTGGAGGTTTCATGATATTTCAAAGACTCAAAGAAAACTATTCACTTTCAGCCACAGAGGATGGTCCCCAAGTCCAGGGACACAGACTTTCTCTTAAAGACCAGAGCAGGAGCTAGGATTCCTTCAGCTCTCTTTTTTTTTCTTTTTTTTCTTTTTTTGTCATATCATTCTCAATCCATGGTGATACTTTTACCAAGAGAGTTCACAAAACTTTGAAAAATTTTCTGTATCATTTAAAGTCTCTTTTTTTTTTTTTCCATAAACTTGCTTTGTTGCTTTAGTCAAATCTCTTAAATCCTCTCCAGTTGGTCTTGTTATTTTTAAGTCTTTCTATCCCAATCAGCTTAAAAGGAAAAATGTTTTAATCTACTATGGGCTAAGTCACACAGAGGGACTGTGGAAATATAAACCTTTACAGTTGAAAGAATCAATATTTTCATTAGGAGCAACCTACTAGCCAGGTCTGTATTGCTTTGGGTATCATGCACTAAGTTTGTGTGACTTCTCTCTCTGCTTAGCCCTACACCTGGCCTGCGCGGGTCAGCACCTGGCCTGCATCGAGTTTCTTCTGAAGTCTGGGCTGAGGGATTCTCCAGACATCACGGGTACCATGGCTCAGCAGCTCACACGGAACACAGACATCCTTCAGTGCTTCAGCCACAGCATGACGGCATGAGGGATTCTAAAAGGCAGTAAAACCATGGTAACTTATATCCTGCTGCTTAAGTCATCACCGGGTTCAGTGAAATCTGCAGATAGTTGCTGCCCTCTGCCTTCCCTCCCCTGCACTCCACCGCTTCTGAGATTCCCAGAGGATGTGGACGCTGGCTTCCTAGATGGAGGGATGGGCACATTAAAAATCTCTCCCATGCCGAAACCGGTTTGGCTCGGTGGATAGAGCATCAGTCTGCAGACTGAAAGGTCCCGGGTTTGATTTCGGTGGGGGACATGTACATTGGATGCGGGCACATCCGCTGTAGGGGGCAGGTGGTTGATGTTTCTCTCTCATCGATGTTTTTAGCTTCTAGCTCTCTATCCCTCTCCCTTCCTCTCAGTAAAAAATCAATAAAATATATTTTTTAAAAAATAAAAATAAATAAATAAATAAAAATCTCTCCTTACCTGCATTTCATTTTGTGGCCTTCAAATGTATTTAGATGATGTTTGTGAGGTCAGTGTGTGGACACAAGCATGTAACATGCAGGAATATAATATAGTATACCATATTTTCCGGCATATAAGACGACCCCCTAATTTTACAGTTAAAACATAGGTTTAGGCCTATATTCGCTGAATAAGACTACCCCCCACTTCAAAGAAAAGACTTACTTTGCCGTCAAGATCTGCAGGTAATTTTTGTGCAATTTTGGTCTTTTGCCCCCGATTTTCAGTTGACTTTTTTTCGTTTCAAAAGTCGTCTTATACGCCAGAAAATGCGGGTGTGTGTGTGTGTGTGTGTGTGTGTGTGTGTGTGTGTGTGTACAAGCGGCCCGGTGCACGAAATTGGTGCACTGTTGGAGGGACGGTGTCCCTTAGCCCAGCCTGCACCCTCTCCAAACTGGGAGCCCTTGGGGGATGTCTGACTGCCAGTTTAGGCCTGATCCCAGGCCCACAGGATGGGGCCTAAACCAGAAGTCAAACATCCCTATCACAATTTGGGACTGCTGTCTCCTAACAACTTGCCTGCCATGATTGACAGCTAGCTGCTCCCCTGCTGGCCCGATAACTCCTAACTACCCTCCCCTGCTGGCCCGATCACCCCCAACTGCCCTCCCCTGCTGGCCATCCTGTGACAACATGGGGACGGCCATCTTGTGATGCAAGGGTGTGAGGGTCAATTTGCATATTGCCTCTTTATTATATAGGATTTGTACATATATATGAAATGGTTTTTTTAATTTTTTATTGATTTTTTTACAGAGAGGAAGAGAGAGGGATAGAGAGTTAGAAACATAGATGAGAGAGAAACATTGATCAGCTGCCTCCTGCACACTTCCTACTGGTGATGTGCCCCCCAATCAAGGTACATGCCCTTGACCAGAATCGAACCTGGGACTTTCCAGTCCGCAGGCCGACACTCTGTCCACTGAGCCAAACCGGTTAGGGCTATATGAAATGTTTTATAGTAAATATATGGTAAGGCAGTAATAATATTAAAAATATAGCAAATTACTAATCATTTGAGCCATCAATAATTGTCTTATTTACTCTCTTTCATAGGCATTTTCTTAGTTGTCACATGGTTTAATTTGGTTTTGTAGCCAGAGAGAAGTGTTTACAATCTGTTTTATTTACACAGACATTTTCAAGGAATTTATGAAAATATTTCTATATTCTAAGCATTGCTAGTTAAGCTATGCTATGGTCTTGATGTTATTTTTTTTATTATTAAACAAGTTCTGTATTGACTCTCTTTAGGTAATCAATACACCTAAAAAAAAAAAATGAACCTAGGATAATTTAAAAACTTTTCTGTTACCTCAGTTGAGGAAGGGGTTTGTTGTCAAAGCCTGCAGGTCACATTTTCTGTTGCATGCCTTCTGCCATCGAGGCCTGTGATTGTGAAGGAATGAACACTTTTTATACCTTTTAAGAAATTTGTAGCAATTTAAACATGTTGAAGATAGGATGAGCCTTCAGGCATTTGGATTCTCTTCTTTTTATTTATTTATTTATTTATTTATTTATTTATTTATTTATTTATTTTTGGTATCATTTTCTCTGAATTGAAGAAGATAGCAATTAGTCTAAGTCAATCTGTTGAAAGATTGAATGCATCCATCACAAGCAATAAATAGCCGAAACCGGTTTGGCCAGTGGATAGAGCATTGGTCTGCAGACTAAAAGGTTCCAGGTTCGATTCCAGTCAAGGGCATGTACATTGGTTGCGGGCACATCCCCAGTGGGGGCTGTGCGGGAGGCGGCTGGTTGATGTTCCTCTCTTATCGATGTTTCTGGCTCTCTATCCTCCTTTCTCTCTGTAAAAAAAAATAAATAAATAAAAAGTCACCTCAGTGAGGCCCTCCCAGGCCATCCAATCTAAAATTTTGTTCTCTCCTTCAGCATTTTATATCTCCTTTACTCAGTTTTGTTTTTTTTTTTCCTCCTTTGCATTTACCACTATCAAGTATACCATACATTTTGAGTTATTTTGTTTCTTGTCTATCTCCTCACTAGAATGTTAGCTTCTTGGGCAAGGTTTTTGTCTCTTGTTTATTTACTAAATCTGTGGGCACATCGCAGAGCCTGGTACATAGTAAGGTATGGAATTATTATATGGTCAAAAAGTGAATGCTAACAATTCACATTTTTGGAAGACTTACTATATCCTAGATACTGTGCTGAGCACCTTACTTAGATGGTTTCATTTCATCCCTTGGTTCTTGCATGATATAGCCACTCCTAATTATTATTCCACCCCACGCATTCTTTCTCACACCAACTTCTTTATTTTTTATTTATTTATTTATTTATTTTTTGTACACAAAACAAAGAGTTTATTTCTGTATTTATTATTAATTAATTATATTATTTTCCGTTCAAGAAAAGATTAGCCAATGGTATTGAACAGGGCTGAGGTCAAGGAAAATGCATGCTGAAATTAATTCTATCACCAGTAGCAGGTTCCTTCACACCAACTTCTTTAAAGAAGTTCCCCTCGGTTTCATCAACTCATAGGCACTGCTCAACCTGCTGCAGTCCAGCTTCCTAGCTGCTATTCTGTGCAAGTTTTTCTCAGGTTACCAGTGACTTTCCAGTTGCCAAATTAAGTAATATAGTTTTAGCTCTCATGTTATTGATCCATCCAGCTTAACTATCCATTACTCTCACCTTCTGGAAACTTATTCTTTCACCTGTGGTAGCACTCTCCTGGGATTTTCTTTCTGACTTTTCCTTTATGGTTTCCATCAGGAATCCCTCTTTTAAGGCCTGCCCTGTAAATGCTAGTGTGCCCGTTTCTGTCTCCAACTTGGTCTTGTCTTTATTGTACACATGCTTCCAGAACCAATGCCTCTTTTAGGGCCTGCAAATGCTAGTGTGCCCATTTCTAGCTCTAACTCAGTGTTGTCCTTATTCTGCCCTTGCTTCCAGCCAGAACCATCTCATCCATTCTCATTTCACCTGCACCCAAATAATGACACTCCATTCTCTAACCTGCGGGGCAGGGGGGTGTGTGTGTGAATATATATATATATATATATATATATATATATATATATATATATATATATATATATATTTTTGCATAGACATTCTAAAGCTATCCTACACTTTATTCAAAACTTAGCTTTCCCCTCAACCTGCTAAGATGTGTGCCTGTATTTTCTGCCTAACTTGATGACACTGCAGATCACCAGTCACCCACATGAGAAACCAGGAATCTGACTCTTACTCCAGCAGAAAGCCCCGCTCCGTCTATTCTGCTCCTGCCCTGTTAAGACTCCCTGGTTCAAGCCCTCAGACTTGTCCAGACCACACTCACAGTAGCCTCCTAACTGTTCCTCCTGCTGCAGTCTTGTTCTCTTCAAATCCGTCCTCCACACAGCCCTGAGCTTCCACTCACATGACCCAGGGCATTGACTGCTGCCGGTGGTTCACCCAGCCTCACCAGGATTTGGTGCCTTAACCAAGCACCACTTCCTCAGTTTTGATCCTGAAAGAGCACCTGATCCACTGTGACTGTCTATTCCTGGGATTGATCAGACAGAGGTCCTAGGAAGAGATACAAATTGGTAAGAACTATAAACATTTGAAAATAGCCAGAACTTGACATATTAATTACCAAAAAAATTATATAATAAAGTATTTACAAGACAAAAATATAAAAAGGATTACAAAGTGGAAAAGAAATTATGAAACTAGGACCAAAAAAAAGGTGTATGAAGGGAGAGTCAGGCACTAAATTCAACATAACCATGGCATTGCTAGAATTCACCAGCAGGTGGCAGACCAAAGAAATGTCCCTTTTATTCTCCCAGATGTGTTTTGCTTTTTGTTTTGTTTTAAACAGAAAGTTTATTTGAACAATAAGACACTTGAAGATTAAACTATCTAGGATTTATTTTTTAGAGTAATTTATCCCTACTTAATGACAGATTGCCCTACAAGTAACAGCTGCGTGCAAAAATTTTATAAAATTGTCCTTGGTTTTACAATGACAAATGAAAAACATTGAAATTCTCCAATCAAACAAGGTATGCAAGAATTTTTATGTTGTTCTTTTTTTGTTAAACAAAGCAAAATGACTTACTGGAAATAAAGATAAGAGCTGAGTGAACATGCCTCTAATGGAGAAAGGGGGTGTTTTCAGAGAACCCGTATTTTTCCCCATCCCATCTCCTTTTGATACAGAGCAAAATATACCATTGGCCACTTAGTTTAAAAAAAAAAAAAAAAAAGCATATGTTTGTGCACACAAATCAGTTAATATATGTACAATAAAGAAATAAAGAAATGGGGAAAGGGGAAATGAAAGAATAGAGAAAACTATACTATAGTAGTCAGATGTGTTGAAACCCAATTGCAGTTTTTTAATTGAGAATGTCTTCTTGGTCTTTAGATTTCTTAAAATTGCTTTCCTGAGCCAGCAAGGGTGTGGAGGGGGGTCAAGAGACAATTAGACTAATTGGATTATTTTGTTAAGAAAACACAAGGTATAAGTAAGGGCTGGCCTCTGACCTTAGCTGAACAGGAAGGATTTGCTAGTAGTGTGTGACAAAGGTCTGTCATAAAGCATTTACAACATTCCTGACAAGGACAAATTCACTATATAATGTGGAGAGGCCTAGGCATTCCCAAGAAAAACACTGGGGAATAATTATATTATAGGCCATCCAAGTTCTGCCACTATGTCTTATCTGGCCTGTATCAGCTAATCTATTGTTGCTTCTTCCCAGGATCGCAGACTCAGTGCATACTCAAGGCCTAGAGGCATACCCAGGGCACTTGAAATAAGAGAAACAAAGGTTGCAGTGC